CTCATTCATCTACAGAAGGAAAGAAGAGGCAGAATAGCATATCCTGAAGGCAGCTGGAGCCAGCCGAGCTGGCACTTCGTCCAGATCTTCCAGCTTCTGATCTGAACTCATAGGTCTATAGTACTGCCTGTATTTCCCCTTTCCTCTTCCCTGTGATACAAGAACATAAAATATGATAGCTCAAAAAAGCCTAAGCCCAAGTAGGAAGAGTCTCAGGAAGACACAGAGTGTCTTGTCTGTAAATGAGGCAAGTAGACCCTGTTCTCTAAGCCAGAAAGCCATTTCTCCTGGAGGAGTAGGAAGAGGACAAGACACACCTTTCAGTGACTACTGGGCAGCCAGAGCCTGCCTACTGCACCAGGGCACACAGCCTGAGAGATTCCTGGGCTCTTCTTGCACATGGCATAGATGCAGCACCGATGTGAGCCTGAGAGCCTTCAAACTAAATGGCCCGTGGACAGAAACTGGGGACAAGATAGGCTTTCTTAGTAACTTGGTATTTGGCTCATCTTGAAGTTGTTTTAAGAACTCATATTTATCTGATTATTTCCAATAGAAACAACTCATTCTTTTATCTCTAGATTAATATAATAAATGACTTTCACCTACTATTATTATAGGTCATGTTTAGCTACACTGAGTACCGTGAGTTAAGTCAAAAGACAGTGAAGAGCCGGGCGCCGGTGGCTCACACCTGTAATCCTAGCTGCTCAGGAGGCTGAGATCTGAGGATCATCGTTCAAAGCCAGCCTGTGTTGGAAAGACTGTGAGACCCCTATCTCCAATAAACCACAAAAAAACCGGAAGTGGTGCTGTAGCTCAAGTGGTAGAGCGCTCGCCTTGAGCTGAAGAGCTGAGGGACAGCGCCCAGGCCCAGAGTTCAAGCCCCACGGCCTACCAAAAAATAAAAATAAAAAAGACAGCAAAGGATGCTGGGGGTGACTCAATGGTGGAACGCGTGCCTAGCATTGATAAGGGAAAGGGCTGAGTGGTCTGTGCCAGGAGGATGCTTTAGACCCAGGCTACCTCCTGCATTGGGGGCCCATGGCTCCTACAGAGCCTACCACCCTCCATGTTTATACAAGTCTCTCCTCTGGGGCTGAGACTCCAACTTCCTTTAAGCTGAGGCTATATGGAGGAATGAGCCTAATATCTTCCCGCAAAGGATCTGTGATAGCACTGAGCAATGGGCTGCTGTTCATCACAGGAAAACTGACCCAGGGGAACTGGCTGAGCTGAGACCTGTTCTGGAAGAAGCAGGGGTCTTTTCCACTCTCCACTCTATTAGAGGGCTTACGTGTGATCCTGACAACACAGCATCTTGCCCTCACTGTTGCTGTGGATCCCTGTTTGCGCCCTTTGCTTTCTATAGCACCTATCCTCTGGCAGTATGTGCAGAACAGACATTCATGTGTACATTTCTTTTCTGAATCATACTACTAAAGAATTTATTTCCTATTTTAGGCCCAGGACCAAGGACAGCATCAGAATAAAACTCCTATTAAAAAAAGGACCTCCCCCCAAAAAAAACGAGATAAACAAGACATCTTCTACTAAAACATTCTAATAGCAAGTATGTATCAGAAGCTGAATTTCACTTTTACCCCAGACACAAATTAAACCAGGAATTGCCAGCATCCAGAGATCAGAGATGCACTAATGGAAGTGAGATTAGGTGGAATTTTCTAGGTCATAATGCTCTGGATTTGGGGTGATACGAGAATCATTGAAGCAGTCTGATTTGACCAGAGTAGGTGAGGCAAACCAACTCATGACAACTTGAGATAATGCAAATGAAAGATGGAAAAGCCAGACATGATGGCTTATGACTTAAATCCTAACTAACTTGGAAAGAAGAGCTGAGATCAAGGTTTGATGCTAGCATGGGCAAAAAGAGTCTCTATCTTAAAAACAAGCCAAGCTGGACACTGGTGGCTCATACCTACAATCCTATCTACACGAGACTGAGATCTGAGGATTGAGGTTCAAGCCAGCCTGGGCAAGGAAGTCCTTGAGACTCTTTAATTAACCACCCAAAAGCTGGAACTGGAGCTGTGATTCAAGTGGTAGGGCACTATCCTTGAGTAAAAAAGCTCAGGGACAGCACCCAGGCCCTGCAGTCAAGCTCCAGGACCAGCACCAAAAAAAAAAAAAAAAAAAAAAAAAAGCCAGGAGTGGTGGCTCACATGAACTCAGCTCCTTGGGAGGGAGAAGTAGGAGGATCACCATCTAAGGCTGGCCTGGGCCAGAAAGTACTAAACTTTATCTAAAAAAATGAAAGCTAGTTGGGTGTCAGTGACTCATGTCTGTAATCCTAGCTACTCAGGAGGATGAGATCTAAGGATCAAGGTTTAAAGCCAGCTCTAGCAAGAAAACCGTGAGACTCTTATCCCTAGTTAGAAAAAAAATAAAAAGCAGGAAGTAGAGCTATGGCTCAGCTAGTAGAGCACCCACCAGCCTTGCACAGAAAGCTCAGTTCAAGCCCCAGGACCAATCTCAGCCTCCTGAGTATTACAGGTGTGAGCCACCGGGACTTGGCTCCTCTCTTACTTTAGAAGAGCTCAACTGGTAGCGCTGGTGGCTTACGTCTGTAATCCTAGCTACTCAGGAGGCTGAAATCTGAGGATCTTGGTTCAAAGCCAGCCTGGGCAGGAAAATCTATGAGACTTTTTTTGTGTCGGTCGTGGGGCTTGAACTCTGGGCCTGGGTGCTGTCCCTCAGCTCTTCAGCTCAAGGCAAGCGCTCTACCACTTGAGCCACAGCGCCACTTCCGGTTTTCTAGTGGTTTATTGGAGATAGGAGTCTCACAGTCTCTCCTGCCCGGGCTGTCTTTGAACGATGATCCTCAGATCTCAGCCTCCTGAGTAGCTAGGATTACAGGCGTGAGCCACCAGCTCCCGGCTTCTATGAGACTCTTATCTCCAATAAACCACCAGAAAATTGGAAGTGGCATTGTGGCTCAAGTGGTAGAGTGCTAGCTTTGAGCTGAAGAGCTGAGGGACAGCGCCCAGACCCAGAGTGCAAGCCCCCAAGATCGACAAAAAGACAAAAACAAAAACTCAAGCCTGCAGTTCCCCTGCTACAGGGAAGCCCTTTGCACCCAGGTTCAGGTTTGCCATCTGTTGGAGCAGTCTAACTTGGAATGGAAGGGAGGTCTCTTATACAACTGTCATAGTTGGGTGAAAATTCTCTAAGTGTTGTAATAGTATGTATACTGTGTGAAGGGTGAAACACTATATATACCAGTCTCTTTTCAAACAAGTGAAAATTCTATTTTTAGATGTGTTTCCCCCTTCTCTTCAGGTTCATCATCACTCCTGTCCCAGTAAAGGCTTCTATCATATATATCAATAAATATCTATATCCCTATCTATCTATATCAAATGCAAGAAAGCTGGGTATAGTGGTACATACCTTTAATCCTAGCACTTGGGAAGCTGAAGCAGGAGAATCACAAGCTAGAAGCCAGCAAACAAAACATCTCCCTGTGGGGCTGGGAAGGTGGCTCAGTGGTACAGCGCTTGCCTTGCATGCCTGAGGCCCTGGGTTCGATTCCTCAGCACCACATAAGGAAAAAGAAAAAAGCCGGAAGTGGCGCTGTGGCTCAAGTGGTAGAGCGCTAGCCTTGAGCTGAAGGACAGCGCCCAGGCTGAGTTCAGGCCCCACGACTGGACCCCCCAAAAAAACAACAACAAAAAAAAAACACCTCCCTGCCACAAAAGAAAGGAAGGGAGGAAAGAGAAACAGAAGGATCCACTTTGTCTTTTCTTAGGCAAAGACAAATCTGAGACATCATAGTCCCTAATTAGTCAGGTACCATCTTCTCTTCTCTACAAAGTGATGGGGTTGGAGGGGATGGAGAATGAAACGAGGGGTAATAAAATATTTTTTTAATCGCTTCCCTTTCCTGAGTATTTTTCAAAATAAAGCATTGTCTATGTAGCAACTTTGCTATTAAGACGATCAGATCACTAACAAATGTTAAGGAATCTATACTTACTGTCCAATCTACGTGTCAACACACTGACACAGGAAATGAAGAGAGCAGGTAGGCTGAGGGGCTTAATTACATAAAAGACCTCATTTTATACCAGCAGCGTGAAAAGCACTGGTGAGCAAGTTTGAAGAATATTTTTGGTTAACAGCAAATATTTCGGAGTTATCTTTCAGATCCAAGTCATGTTTCGGTGCTTTGGGTATACACAGTATACTTAATATTTTCAGTTGAGTCATATTTAGGATGTTGGTTTCCAGTAATTCTAGTGCATTAACAACAGAATGAAAACAAGTATTAGGCAACAGTAGGGAGGGACACTGGGTATGAACTAGATGATGGGGTCATTCCACTGCCCTTTCCTACCATTTGTCTCTGTCTCCATGTAATGCACATTTCCTTCTGGGTGCCCAGTGCTGCTTCTATATATTTATCCATGTTTCAAAGTTACTTTTAATTCTGACATCCTGCCCCCTCAATTTTTTTTTTTCCCCAGGGCTGAGGACCGAACCCAGGGCCTTGCGTGTACTGGGCAGGCGCCCTTCCACTGGGCTAAACCCCCAGCACCCCCTCAAATCTTCTAAAACAAAATCCTCTTTCATTTCTTCACTGATCCTGCCTCCTCTGCTTCACTGTGTAGCAAGAGAACAGTGATCATCCTATTTCTGAAAAGTTGCTGAGCCCCTTCCTTTCACAGCAACAGTAGCACCACTACATGATAGAAGACCAAGGGTAATAATGAACTAGAAATATTGAAATGTAGCCATACACAGAAAATACAATTTTACCCCTTTGAAATTTAAGAAAATTTGTCCTATGTGCATCATTTTACCCACTTTAGAAACTAGACCACTTACTAAAAGGTCCAAACTGGCTATTCTGTCTTATCACAATCCTTTCATAACTGCTATAAACCTAAGATGCCCAAATTTCCATGGTAAAATAATTCCTCTCTGCGAAATCAAACCATTTATTAGTTTACAAAAAGTAGATGAAATGTTAGAGACAAATTTAACAAATGCTACTTTATTATTTATAAAATACAAGGTTATTTGTGTACAGAGGAAAGCAGAAACTTAAAGGTTAAATGCAACTGAGTGCTCATTCTCATGCAACCATTTAGAATAAAAGTGAGTCATAAGGCTGACACAGGCCCACTGCTATGTAGAAAATGCCAGTTACTCAGAAAGTAGACCAGAGTAACTACCAGAAAGGACACAAGTATTGGTAGTGTGCCTACAAGTACCGTCAGTTAATTACAGCATGTACAGACCCAGTGCTCCACAGTCCACCCATGTGTGTCAGGTAGGAATCTGCCTGTCCTTCTGAAGAAGCAAAGCCCCAGGACTAATTAACTTCCCTACATTCCACAGGGCTTTGTTCAGGTGACTGTGGAATGTGCTGTCAAAAACCTCATTCATTTCTGCTGCGAGTTCTCTCAGAACCGACTCTGTGGACTCATCACTGACATTCAGAATCCGCACAAAGAATTTATTCCACAATCCACCATCTTTTAGCCTAAAAATATATAAAAATCATTTTCATCAAGATTAGGCATATGAAAATTACAACTCTTTTTTAGTTTAACTCAGTAGTACATTTATGAAACCAAGATGATTTGAGGTAACATCTCCAACTCTAGGGTTAGGGATCACTCAGATGTTTCTTGAAACTCAGGGAGGAATTACAATGAAGGCCTACACCCTAGGAAAAGCCATGTCAGCACACATGAGATTCAGTCTCCTGTGAATCAACAATTTTCTTCTGTATATTAAGATGAAGCACCTTTTCTGTATACAAGGAAAAGAAAATGTTTCCTCTAATGTTCCTAAAGCCTAAGTCATGAAAGACTGTAGTGTCCCTTCTTGCCTGAATGTTTGTCCTCTTCACCATTCTTAAAGAACTCCACATTTGGCTGAAATAACATGCTGAAAACCTATGACTCCTCGTTCTCTCCTTTTTCTATTGTGATTGATAGAGGGCAGAGCTGTTAGGAAATTTCAACTGTTTCTGCTGTGCTAGACCTGCTGGGACCACAGCCAGTTGGAGATGCCTGCTTAGTCACTGATTTCAAGTCTATTTAAAAAGTATATGTAGTAAAAGCCAGTAAAAACCTCCTTAACTCAGGAGGCTGAGATCTGAGGATCGTAGTTCAAAGCCAGTCTGGGCAGGAAACTGTGAGGCTCTTGCCCTCAATTAAGTACCAAAAATAGCTGAAGTGGCCTGGCATCTGTGGCTCACGCCTATAATCCTAGCTACTCAGGAGGCTAAGATCTGAGGATCTTGGTTCAAAGCCAGCCTAGGCAGGAAAGACTGTGAGACTCTTATCTCCAATAAACCTCTCTGAAAACCAGAAGTGGCACTGTGGCTCAAGTGGTAGGGCGCTAGCCTTGAGCTTTAAAAAAAAGCTCAGGGACAGCACCCAGGCCTTGAGTTTAAGCCCCAGACTGGCACAAAAACAAAGGGAAAAAAAAAATCATGTAAGAGACAAATGTGACTGGATTAATTAAAAAAATTACATTTCAGTGTTTTGGAAGGGAGAGTAGAGAAAGAACATCAAAATCTTCAACACTTTTTTTTTGTGTGTGTTATTTTTTGGGGGGTCTGGTCGTTGGGGCTGAACTCTGGGCCTGGGCGCTGTCCCTCAGCTCTTCAGCTCAAGGCTAGCGCTCTACCTCTTGAGCCACAGCGCCACTTCCGGCTTTTTTTCTTTTTGCTTATGTGGTGCTGAGGAATCGAACCCAGGGCCTCAGGTATGCAAGGCAAGAGCTCTACCACTGAGCCACCTTCCCAGCCCAACACTTTTTTTTTTCTTTAAACCAAACTATTCTGGAAAGCTATTAGTTAAGAAAGTTAAAGTGGGGGCTGGGAAGATGGCTTAGCGGTAGAGCGCTTGCCTTGCATGCATGAGGCCCTGGGTTCGATTTCTCAGTGCCACATAAGCAGAAAATGCCAGAAGTGGCGCTGTGGCTCAAGTGGTAGAGTGCTAGCCTTGAGCTGAATTGCTGAGGGACAGCGCCCAGGCCCAGAGTTCTGGCCCCAGAGCGACCAAAAAGAAAAAAAAAAGGAAGTTAAAGTGGAGCCTAGGCATTTAATCAATTTTATGAGCATGCTTGAGGGAGTACTATGATTCCAAGACTGAGCAGATCTCTTATTAAAAGATCATTATTTCTTCACCAGAAGATTCTTCTTTGGTTTGGTTCTACCCACTCATTAAATAAATAATAACCTAAAATTAGTATATAATTTAAAAACTCTCTTTAAGAGATGCTTATTAACACTCACTATTAAAAAGGGCTTAAGACTAACACCAATTGATTAGAAAATTATTCTTCCCAAATGTTCCTGATAGCACAGCTGAACCAAGAAACCTTAATGCCAGTCTCTCTGTGGCACCTAGGTTCAGAATATGCTGAAATCTGAATACTGACTCTTACTATTTTTTTATTCTGTGTGTGCTGGTCCTGGGGCTTGAACTCGGGGCCTGGTGCTATCTCTGCATTTTTCTGCTCAAGACGAGAGCTCTACTGTTTGAGCCAAACCTTTATTTCTAGCTCTTTTGGTGCTTAATTGGAGAAGAGTCTTATGATGTCCTGGCTGGGCTGGTTTTGAACTGAGATATTCAGATCTCAGATCTCAGCCTTCTGAGTAGCTAGGATTACAGGCATGAGCCAACACCCCGCTTTGCCTCTTAGGTTTAATTAGTGACGCCTTTATCCTACACCAGGTGCTCTGCTGATACTCTAATGAGTGAAATTACCTTAGCACTTGGTTTGAGATAATTAAGGTTTTTTTTTTTAATGAAAGCAGAGAGAACATTTGAGAGAAAATTATTTGGACAACAAAGACCCAAAATTCCCAATACTTACTCAGAAATATTTTTGCTGAGTTTCCAGAGAGACCCATCCCAGAAGACCTGTAGGTGTTCCTTGAACAATAGTAAATGTGCTAAATCTGCTATACCAAACAGGTCTACCTGAAATCACAAAAAACTCCATGAGCTAAAAATATTTCACTACCTCTACTGTGAAGTTAATTTACATAATGGTGAAAAGCCTTACAAAGCTTAACTAAATTTATTTTATGACATAATTTTCAGGGGACTGTGCCTGACCCCTAAAGGAAAGGGAACAACTCCCTAAAGAAGCAACAGAGCCTGCTCGCCTTGAGCTGAAGAGCCGAGGGACAATGCCCAGACCCAGAGTTCAAACCCCATGACGGACCAAAAAAAAAAAAAAAAAGACAACAAATGAACTGAACTACCAAATGAATCTGTAGATCTACTGAATAGGAATGTACTAAGCTAGGCACTGATGGCTCATGCCTGTAATCCTAGCTACTCAGGAAGCAGAGATCTAAGGATCATGGTTCAAAGCCAGACTGGGAAGGAAAGTTCATAGAGTCTTTTTTTTTTTCTTTTTTTGCCAGTCCTAGGGCTTGAACTCAAGAGCCTGGGCACTATCCCTGAGCTTCTTTTGTTCAAGGCTAGCACTCTACCACTTGAGCCACAATGCAACTTCCAGCCTTTTCTGTTTATTTGGTACTGAGGAATTAAACCCAGAGCTTAATGCATGCTAGGAAAGCATTCTTCCACTAACCACCTTCTCAGCCAAAAGTCCATAGGTTCTTACCTCCATCTAACCACCAGAAAACCAGAAGTAGAGCTGTGGCTCTAAGTGGTAGAGCAAAAAGAGCTCAGGAACAGTGCCTGTTCAAGTTCCTCAGTTCAAGCTCCACAACTGACCAAAAAAAAAGTATGGATCCTAGCTGTGACCTCACGTAGTCCATGTGACTCCTTTAGATTCAAGCTATTCAGTCAGCAAAATGCCTCAAACATGTTTGCATAAAATGTCATCTTTATAAAATGTAAACATGTTACATTTACCTTAATGTTCTTCTTACATACATTATATTGTATTTAATCCTCACAATAATTCCAATGTACCAAGAGTAGAAACTGTTATTATTAGCAAAGATCCTAAAAAATAACTTATAAAAGACTACACTGATGGACAGTAAGTAGAAATCGCACTGGCTCTTAGGTACTCAGTCCTGTTTGCACATGTATGTGTATATTCTTTAGCACTGTGAGAAAAAAATTACACTTAACTTGAAGTGGTGATACAATATTTGAAAACTAGGTCATCTATTTTAGAAGACTTGATAGCAGTAAACAGCTCTCATAGCTTATCTACATAGATAAGAGACTAAGAAACCCTCTCTGTGTCTGCTCAGGCTGGTCTCACACTTACCTGGTAGGGAGAAGAACAGTTAGCCAGGATCTTTTGACCTTCCAAGATTTGTAGAGTCCGAAAGCCGCTGAGGGGAAAAACATCTAGCTGCGCTCTCAGGTCAACACTATAGGAAAAGTCCACTATCTTCAAAGCTTGATTGTGCTCATTGAAATCATAGGGATCGTGGATTCTGAGCTCAATTTAAGAGAAAGAGATAATAAAAACAGGACATAAAAGAATCTGCATAGCCAGTTTTTATTTTAAAAAAACAAACAAACCACATGCTTATTTTAGCTAGACCAAGAGCACCCTCCAGTGTCTAGTTATAACAACACACATGCAGAAGCAGTGGTGTGCCTCTGGCCAAATGGCAAAGATCTGTTTGGTGATACAAAGTATGTGTAAGCCACTGTCAACTACCATAGGATATTATTACATGTCCACCATATTTCCTTTTTACATGTTAAGCAAAGTAATGTGAAGCATTTCAGCTAATAACTGCAAACTAATGAGCTTGGAAAATTAAATGTTGGTGCAAGACACAGGATTGGTATAGACAAAACATCTTTAAAGTAGGCTGCTTTATTAACAGACAAAATAAATATAGCAGTCAAAGAGCATGCTAGTCTTCTAGTCCTTTCCAAAAACAAATTTTGACTGTTGTTAGTTTGTTCATGCCTTAACATTGTCCCTATTTTTCTGTTATTACTTGGGTCTCATTTCCTGTTTCCTATACTGGATTAATTTGTTGAACATGTTGGATAAACTAAGTTTTATCTGAGCACTAAGCCACTTTCCTGGCTCTATCAACTTCTCTTGGCTGTTACTTCACTTTGAACTGACTGAGGCAGTATCTTTGCTACATCGCACAAGCCCTACGAAAAGAATAACCTGACAATTTGTTTAACATTCCTCAGCATTCATATCTTACATTTCTCCTTGACAAAAATCATTACAATACTTAGTGGATAATTTTTTTTTGTCTTATTTTTTGGTACTGGGGATCGAACCCAGGACATTGCACTTGCTAGGTAAGCGCTTTGCCACTGAGCTACATCCCAGCCCTGGATAATTCTTTTTTTTTTTTTTTGGGTCCGGTCGTGGGGCCTGAACTCTGGGCTTGGGCGCTGTCCCTCAGCTCTTCAGCTAGCGCTCTACCACTTGAGCTACAGCGCCACTTCTGGCTTTTTTCTTTTTGCTTATGTGGTGCTGAGGAATCGAACCCAGGGCCTCAGGCATGCAAGGCAAGCACTCTAACACCGAGCCACCTTCCCAGCCCTGGATAATTCTTTAATGTAGTTCCTCAATGTGGCTTTTTAAATTATTTGAAATTATTCTCAATGATTATTGACATTCAGGTAGCTAGTATTCTTTTAACATAATAGCTTTATAGACAGGCTTTTGCCAAAAGCATAAATATGACAATTATCTATATTTTCAGAGAAAGTTGACAATAAGAAGCAGAAAAAGGGAACAACCTGTTTCGTAGAATCAGACTCTTTGGGCTCAGATCTCCATGAACGATTTCTGCTTTGTGTAGTTTCTCCACTAATGTCAACACATTATAAATAATCAGTACTGCTATTTCACTGGTAATAAATTCACTGTGTTGGAGAAGATCCTGGAATAGAAGGACAGAAGACTATTTCTCAAATTGGGTCACTTGAATTGTACTCTATTCCATGATACCTTCTGCTTGGTACTCTAGAATGCAGTCTGGGCCTACACCCCAGTTTAACAACAATAAGATTTCCTTAAGATTCTCATGATTTATAACTGGGGATGCAGATCAGCATGTGTTAAGCCCTGAGTTCAAACTCCAGACTAGGAAAGAACAAAAACAAACTATAAGGATTTTCAGGAGATAATGAATAAAGAACTTAAAGAATGAATCTGAAGCCAGGCACTGGGGCACACCTATAATCCTAGCTACTCAGGAGGCCAAGATATGAGGATCACAGATCAAAGTCAGTCCCAGGAGGAAAGCCCATGAGACCCTTATCTCCAATAAACTACTCAGAAAAAGCCTGAAATGGCCCTATGGCTCAAGTGGTAGCATTCTAGCCTTGAGAAAAAGAATCTCAGAATCGGTGCTCAGGCCTGAGTTCAAGCTCTAGGACTGGCACATGGGTTCACATGCACATGTACATTCGCAGATACCCACACAATAAATAAATAAAATCTGTATTTTAAAAAATAATCCAAGCTGGGTGCCAGTGGCTTATACCTGCAATCCTAGCTACTCAGGAGGGTGAGATTTGAGGATCACAGTTCAAAGCTAATCAGGACAGGAAAGTCTGTGAGACTCTTTATCTTCACTAAATTACAATAAAATAAAATAATAATCCAGTGGAGGTCAGTAATATAAAAATGCCAGTTATCCTAGTCACATGAATAGTTCATGGGAGTTCATTGTTTAATTCTTTCCCCTTGTGAATAAATAGAAAATAAAAATAATAAATACCTTGGTCAAAATAACTTCAGAAAATTATCTTTTTTAGTTTTTATTTTGGTGGCTGTTCCTGAGCCTTTGTGCTCAAGGCTCTACCACCTGAGCCACTGTTCCACCTCTGGCTTTTTGGTGGATACGAGTCTTCAATGGAAGATAAGACTCTCCTGCTCAGCCTGGCTTTGAAATGAGATCATATGAATTTTTTTTTTTTTTTTTTTGTTGGTCGTGGGGCTTGAACTCTGGGCTTGGGCGCTGTCCCTGTGCTCTTCAGCTCAAGGCGAGTGCTCTACCACTTGAGCCACAGCGCCACTTCCGGTTTTCTAGTGGGTTTATTGGAGATAAGAGTCTCACGAACTTTCCTGCCCAGGCTGGCTTTGGCTTTGAACCGCGATCCTCAGATCTCAGCCTCCTGAGTAGCTAGGAATACAGGCGTGAGCCACCGGCACCGGGCTAATATGCATATCTTAGTCTCCTGAGTAGCCAGGATTACAGACATGAGCCACTGGCACTCAGGTATGATCAATGCTTTTAACTTGTAATTTTGTTGGTCTACAACTAGGCAATTCATAGGAATTATGTTCTAAGTGGAACATAATTCTCTCTCCTTGAGAACTTTGGAAGGGTTTAAGTAGTGCAAACCTGAAGGGTGGAACAGTTTATATATTGGTACCAAATGATACAACCGTCTTGGTATAGGTAACAGCTGCAAAACTGATCACACTCTTCATTTAGACGCTCCTTTAGCTTGAGGTGGATGTAAAAATCCCATGGGACAGGATGAGTGAATACCTGCAAGGAATATTTTAAAATAAGAGCAATTACAATGTGTGTCTATAGTTAGCATATTGAAAACACAATTCTCCTAGCCTTTCTGCTATTCCAACTGAAATCATAGTAAAGGGGCATTTTTGAATGAAGGTCAAGTTTAATTCCCAGTACCACAACTAAGGGGTAAGGGTAGAATCAAAAACTTTAGGAGGGGCTGGTAAGGTGGCTCAGTGGTAGAGTGCTTGCCTTGCATGCATGAGGCCCTGGGTTCAATTCCTCAGCATGACATAAGCAGAAAAAGCCGGAAGTGGCGCTGTGGCTCATGTGGTAGAGCGCTAGCCTTGAGCTGAAGAGCTGAGGGACAGCGCCCAAGCCCAGAGTTCAGGCCCACGACCAACAAAAAATAAGTAAATAAATAAATATATCTTAACATAAAATAGTACCAAATTGAACAGCTGAAAAGAGAATAAGAGTAACAATCCACTTAAAAGCTCCAAGGAAAGTGGACTCTAGCAGGAAGAAACTGCTTCCTTAAGAAAGTAACTAGCCGGGCGCTGGTGGCTCACGCCTGTAATCCTAGCTACTCAGGAGGCTGAGATCTGAGGATCTCGGTTCAAAGCCAGCCCGGGCAGGAAAGACCGTGAGACTCCTATCTCTAATAAACCACCAGAAAACCGGAAATGGCGCTGTAGCTCAAGTGGTAGAGCGCTTGCCTTGAGCTGAAGAGCTGAGGGACAGCGCCCAGGCCCAGAGTTCAAGCCCCACGACCGACAAAAAAAAAAGAAAAAAGAAAGTAACTAAAGGATATATGCTCCTCCAAATGTAAGGCATTAAACCAAGAAAGAAGGAATAAAGTAGGAGCCAAGACACTGGATATCTACTATACGACAAGGTAATGTGACCATCTAGGATGATGGTGAATGGAAATTTCAGGTGATACCAGATGTGTCCAGGTTGGAGCAAGTAAAAAAACAAGACAGATTTTCTAAAAAAACAAAATGGGCTAGGAAGGTGGCTTAGTAGTAGAGTGTTTGCCATGCATGAAGCCCTGGGTTCGATTCCTCCACATACACAGAAAAAGCCAAAAGTGGTACTGTGGTTCAAGTAGTAGAGTGCTAGCCTTGAGCAAAAGAAGTTCAGGGACAGGGGCTGGGAAGATGGCTCAGTGGTAGAGCGCTTGCCTTGCATGCCTGAGGCCCTGGGTTCGATTCCTCAGCACCACATAAGCAAAAAGAAAAAAGCCGGAAGTGCCGCTGTGGCTCAAGTGGTAGAGCGCTAGCCTTGAGCTGAAGAGCTGAGGGACAGCGCCCAGGCCCAGAGTTCAGGCCCCACGACAGGACCCAAAAAAAAAAAAGAAGTTTAGGGACAGTACTCAGGCCCTCAGTTCAAGCCCCAGGACTGGCAAAACAACAACAAAAAAAAAAACCCCAACAACACAACAATCAAAACTGGTAGACATACTGAGAAATTTACACAATAGTTTTTCTGATATCTGATCTTGGCCTACAAGATGACTGATTGCTTGGTGCCCACTGACTTTCCCATAAGGAATCCTGTATACTAATTAGAAAGATTTGATAGTACCAGGGGACCAGAATTATTGTTATTGCTCCAACCTATATTTACAAGGTAAGTAAAAGTATAACCCATCAAGCTCACCTTTATTAAAGTTAACTCTGAAGAGTTTCTTGGTGCTACCCAGAATAACTTGTAATCTTCACATATTAGGTATTCTTGCTTAATACAATAATCTTCATTATCTGTTGAGGTTTGATTCCATTAAAAGCAAAACAAACAAAAAAACCCTTTAAGTACATCTCTGTTTGTCACCATGTACTAACATCAATTCAAAGTGGTTTAAAGACCTCAACTCTGAAACTACTACATGAGAAATTAGGAGAAGCCGGGCGGTGGTGGCTCACGCCTGTAATCCTAGCTACTCAGGAGGCTGAGATCTGAGGATCGTGGTTCAAAGCCAGCCCGGGCAGGAGAGACCGTGAGACTCCTATCTCCAATAAAAAAACCAGAAAACCAGAAGTGGCGCTGTAGCTCAAGTGGTAGAGCGCTCGCCTTGAGCTGAAGAGCTGAGGGACAGTGCCCAGGCCCAGAGTTCAAGCTCTTCAGCTCAAGGCTAGTGCTTTACCACTTGAGCCAAGCACTACTTCTGGCTTTTCCTGCTTATGTGGTGCTGAGGAATCTAACCCAGGGCATACAAGACAAGCACTCCACCACTGAGCCACCTTACCAGCCCAGAAACTTCTTTAATAGAGTCCCAGGAACACAAGGATAGAGACTTGACAAGTGGGACTACATCAAAATAAAAAGTTTCTGCATAGCTAAGTACATAGTTACTAAACTAGAAAGACAGCCAACCAACTGGGAAAAGATATGTACCAGCAATATATCAGACAAAGGCCTAATATCCAATAAATACAAGGAGCTCAAGCTCATCATCCCTGGCCATAAAAGAAAAGCAAATCAAAACAACGCTGAGATTCTATCTCACCCCAATAAGATTGGCCAACATTGTGAATTTGAACAACAAATGTTGGTGGGGATGTAAGGAAAAGGAACCCTACTGCACTGCTGGTGGGAATATAAACTAGTACAACCATTCTAGAAAGCAGTCTGGAGGTTCCTCAAAAAACTAAACATAGATGGGCACTAGTGGCTCACACCTGTAATCCTAGCTACACAGGAGGCTGAGATATGAGGATTGCAGTTCAAAGCCAGCCTAGGCATGAGACTCTTATCTCCAATTAACCACTGGAAAACTGGACATGGCGCTGTGGCTCAAGTGGTGGAGCGCTCACCTTAAGCTGAAGAGCTCAGGGATAACACCCAGGCCCAGAGTTCAAGCCCCACAACTGATAAAAATAAAATAAACATAAACCTTCCATATGACACAGCCATACCATTCCTGGGCATCTATCCTGAACATCACAAGCCAGGGATATAAGGACACCTGTACATCCATGTTCTTTGCCGCACTATTCACCATAGCCAAGATATGGAAACAGCCCAGATGCCCCACAAAAGATTAGTGGATCCAAAAAATGTGGTATCTATATATACAATGGAATTTTACCCAGCCATTAGAATAAAATAATGTCATTTGCAGGGAAATGGATGGAACAAGAACAAATCATGTTATGTGAGGTAAGTCTAGCTCAGAGAGACAAACGGCACATGTTCTCTCTGATATGCAGAAATTAGATCTAAAATATACTGGAATAGAGGGAAACGGGAAAACATACAACAGAGGGGCCCATCAGCTGCACTGAACATTGATAAAAATGAACTGAACAACTCAAGGGCAACAATAGGAGGGAGGGAATGAGAGGGAAAGAGGGAACAGCTTACACTAAGCAAAAGGAAAGAAATGTACATATCACCCAATATGGAATAATTGTATTGTCAAAGCTCATAGACCTCACAAACATTATAGACCACGATAATGACAATTTGCTTCATGAAGGTTAAAAATGTGTTTGTAACTTTAAGTTATCTATGGTATATTCTCACCATACTGTAAAATTTGTGAAATTATGTAATCACTAAATCTCAATAAATAATAAAATACACTGGAATAATGCAAATTATACAGGATTTTAGATACATATACTGAGACTAAAACAGGATACTTAAAAATTAATTTACTTTATTGTTATTATAGAGGTGATGTACAGAGGGATTACAATTGCATGAGTCAGGTAATAAGTACATCTCCTTTCATACAGTGTCTTCTGTTCCCTCATTCTCTCCTACTCTCCACTCTTTTTTTTCTTTTCTCCACTTTTTTCTCACCAGTTGTACAGTTCACTTTCATCAATGTCTAGTGAGCTCCATTGCTGCACTTTTTTCCCTTAAGTTCTGTGCCTTTCCCTCCCTCCTAAAGATATACACATGAATACACCATACATAAGGTAGAGACAGAATCATCAAAAACTAAGAACGTATGTGAATTTTTTGTTTTTCGTTCTTTTGTTTCTTTGTATGTTCTTCCCCCATGGCACAACCCCTGTTGTCACTGTATTTGATTCTGGTGTCCTGCATCTTGTATATACATTTTTCTTTTTTTTTTGGGTCCAGTCATGGGGCCTGAACTCTGGGCCTGGGCGCTGTCCCTCAGCTCTTCAGCTCAAGGCTAGCGCTCTACCACTTGAGCCACAGCGCCACTTCTGGCTTTTTTCTTTTTGCTTATATGGTGCTGAGGAATCGAACCCAGGGCCTCTGGCATGTAAGGCATGCGCTCTACCACTGAGCCACCTTCCCAGCCCTGTATATACATTTTTCTAATTGGGGAGGGGAAGGGAAATAACAAAATGCTGAAATAAGGATACAGGATGACCCACTGTAACAATGAGATATACAAGACACTATGTTGAAAACAAACTTCACAACTTGGGCGGGGGGGCGGGGGGCGGGCGGAGGGGGGTGCCCTTAATGGGGGAAGAGGAGGAGAAAAGGGATGGTAGGGGAAAAACAAAGGAGGGGGGTAACAATGCTTGATAGGAAATGTATGCTTTACATTGCTCATGTAACTAAACCCTCTGCACACTATCTTTTCAATAAAAATATATATTTTCAATTTTTTTAAAAAAGAATTTTGTTTCCATATCTTAGAGTTCATTTCCATATGTTTATTACTTCATATAAATGCAAAGAGGTATTTAGGTACTGTGCCTTTGTGTTTCTCTCCTAAAAGAGGATACTTTTAAGAAACACAAAGGTGCAATGCCTATGTGCCTCTTCATATTAACACAAAACTGTGTGTGTGTATGTGCGTGTGTGTGTGTGTGTGTGTGCGTGTGCATCAAAATGAACTCTAAGATATGGAAACAAGGGACCTCTCTCCTTTTTTATTCCCTTTTAATTTTTTTGATGACTCTGACTTTTCCTTACGTATGGTATATTCATGTGTATATTTTCAGGAGGTTGGGGAAAAGGCACAGAACTCGAGGGAAAAAGGATGAAAAAGTGCAACAGAGGAACTCACTAGACATTGGTGAAAGTGAACTATACAACTCGTGGGTAGAGACAGGAGGGCAGGACTAGGAGAGAATGAGGGAACAGAAAATACTGTATGACAGGGAATGTACTCATTACCTGACTCATATAAATTGTAATCCTTCTGTATATCACCTCTATAATAATAAAGGAAAAAAAGAAGAATTAAAAAAAAAAAGAACCAGAGCTGGGAAGGTGGCTCAGTGGTAGAGCGCTTGCCTTGAATGCATGAGGCCCTGGGTTCGATTCCTCAGCACCACATAAACAGAAAGAAAAAAGTCAGAAGTGGCGCTGTGGCTCAAGTGGTAGCGCGCTAGCCTTGAGCTGAAGAGCTGAGGGACAGTGCCCAGGCCCAGAGTTCAGGCCCCACGACTGGACCCAAAAAAAACAAAAAACGAACCAATATGAACATATTAATCTTCTATCCTTTACCTCCTGGTTTCAGAGCAAGAGGCACTGGTTCCTGTTTAGTAGCATTTAGGACCATTTGTCACAAACTAAAAGAGGACAAAAAAATAGCTACTATTACTAGGACATGAAGTCATTAATGTATCAACTTGTACAAAATGTTATTTCTTTTTTTTTCATCCTAGTCCTGGGGCTTGAACTCAGGGCCTGAGTGCTGCCCCTGAGCTTCTTTTTGCTCAAGGCTAGTGTATCTTTACTTCTGGCTTTTTCTGAGTAGTTTATCAGAGTTAAGAGTCTCATGAACTTTCCTGCTCAGGCTGGCAGGATCTCAACCTCCCTCATAGCTAGGATTACAGGTGTGAGCCACTGGCATCTGGCTACAATGTTATTTCTTATAACCTAGGAACTTTATAGTGCACAAGCATCAAACTCAATTATAAAGATTGTAATAGTATCACAAAAGGACATGCATCGGTGATACTTACCTAATTCAATTTCATTCTCAATTTCCAACTTAGGCATTGGTCTATCTTCTACATAGAACTCTGCAGAAGCACTTAACTCTGGTAGGGATTTTAGTAGCTGTTCGCGATTCTGTAAACACCAGGGTGACTGCAAAGGGTTTTCTGAGGAGAAAAAAAGTTGAAAAGCCTTCAGGCAAAACATCTAAATGCTTAAAATAAATAGCAGAGGAGGGGAAAAAGAAACAAGCCAAGTTATAAATCAACACTGCTAATCTAACTGCATTCCTCTGAAACTATGTTCAGTTAATATCAGTCTATTCTAGAAATTCCATTCATAGCCACTTCTTTTTTAAATTTTATTTATTTATTTTTTCTGTCAGTCATGGGGCTTGAACTCTAGGCCTGGGCACTGTCCCTCAGCTCTTCAACTCAAGGCGAGTACTCTTATCACTTGAGCCACAGCACCACTTGCAGTTTTCTAGTGGTTAATTGGAGACAAGAGTGTTCACAGACTTTCCTGCCAGGGCTAGCTTTGAACTACGATCCTCAGATCTTAGCCTCCCAAATAGCTAGGATTACAGGAGTGAGCCACCGGCACCCAGCCTCTTGGCCACTTCTTTAAGGGAAAAAAACTTAGTTTTCTGAGATAAATAAGTGTTCATTAGACATGGATCTGGATGTGTGTCTGTGAGTTGTATTATCCTACCTGTAGCTTCGCTAGTCAGTTCAAGTTTCTCAGGAATCTGAAGACTTTTGATGGAGGAGATGCTTGCAACTGAGGCAGAAGATCCAGAAAAGCCAGAAGAATGTGTAGCTTCACGACTATCTTCAATGATTGGGCTGAAAGAACCACAGAGGAAAAGGGTTCTCATAGAATAACATATACTAACTTACTTCCGTTAAATTTGATAAATTTACAAATTTTTATACATACGTATGTACACACACATATCTATGATTTATCTTTTTCTGGTTCTTGTTGGTGGTACTAGGTTTGAACTCTGGATCTCATGCTTGCAGGCATTCTAATATTTGAGCCACATTCTTCTGTTATTTTGGGGGTCGGGTCTCCCATTTTTGCCTAAGGCCATGTGTGGACCTCCATCCTAGCCTAAACCTTCTGCACAGCTGAGACCATACTCTTGTGCCAAACCTGGCTTTTGATTAGAATGACCTTACAGCTCTAACATCTACTCCAAGTAGCTGGGGTTATAAGCATATCATCATACCTGGCCTTGACTTTTTTGTTAAAAATAACTGATTTTAATTTAGCTTGAGCCGGGTGCTGGTGGCTCACACCTATATTAGCTACTCTGGAGGCTGAGATCTGAGAATCACAGTTCAAAGCCAGCCCAGGCAGGAACATCCATGAGACTCTTATTGCCAACTAACCACCAGAAAACTGGAAGTGGTGTTATGGCTCAAATGGTAGAGCACTCTTGAGCTGAAGAGCTCAGGGACAGTGCCCATGCAGAGTTCAAGCCCAATGACTGACCAAAAAAAAAAAAACAAACAACAACAACAAAAAAAAAACAAGTTAGGATTCTATTTTATTTTAAAGTCATTATTCAGAAATAAGTTCATAATTAGGCTCTCACTGACTTCCTTTATACTGGTGGATAAACAAGTCCCAGGATTACAATTCTGGACTTATGACTTTATTTACCTAATTTATAGTACATGCCTGTTTTATATTATTCCATACTACTGAGAAATATTGACCAACACTGACAGTGACTTTATTTCACTTCATCTAGAGCCTGCATTTTCTGGCCTTTAATAAGAAAAGGAAAGGAAAAGGAAAAAGGAAACTCAATCATTACAACATGAGCACATCTTGGCACCTGACTAAAAGTTTGTTAGGGAAATGCAGTTTTAAAAGCATAGACTGGTTAAAGAATTAGTCTTGAGAGGTATGGTTAAAATGGTAGAGTACCCGCCCAGCAAGTACAAGGCTCTGAGTTGAAATTTCACTGCTTCCAAACAAAAAATTTAGTTCTCTCATAGTCAAACTAATCCTTTTATCTGGAACAGTCTTATTATCATATAAAGTACATAGCAGCTCAGTAACTGGCTGAGTCAGAGCTTGACAGCTAATCACTGTAATGGACAAGTATACACAGAATAAGAGCAAATACTCTGGCTTGTAAAGTTTGCCCGCCTAGGCACCTTAGCTTCTTGTTGCTGAGGGTTTGATGGTAGCTAGTGCTGCATGTGATCTGCTGGCCCTCAGAGGTCTTTGCATCAACATATTCTTCTTGCAGCAGTCTCTCAGGATCAGAAGGGAGGTCCTTCAAGGATATTATCTCATGAAAAGGAGTAGAGGCAACACGAGCTGCTCTAACAAAGTCACAAGTGTCTTCTGGGTTAGGACAAATAGTTACATTCCTGAAACCGGTGATGATAGCATCTTCACTCAAAGGCTCAATTCCTGTGAATTCATCCTAAAATAAAAACCAGATAAAGTTTAGCTAAATGTTTCACTGAATGTATGGTCTATTTTTTTTTACATAAACACACATTGGATCATTGACATAGGATTCAGGAGCATATCAGAATTTCTAGGTAAAGACAATTTTAAAAAGCACATGAGGGCTTGGAAGGTGGCTCAGTGGTAGAGCACTTGCCTTGCATGCATGAGGCCCTGGGTTCCATTCTCAGCACCACATAAGCAAAAAAGCTGGAAGTGGTGCTGTGACTCTAGCGGTAGAGCGCTAGCCTTGAGCTGAAGAGCTGAGGGACAGCGCCCAGGCCCAGAGTTCAAGTTCAATGACCAACAAAAAATAAAAAATAAAAAAGCTAAAAGCAAATGATAGTATTTGAAGAAAATAATTTTGCATCATGAACACAGAAACAAATTACTTTATGAAAAATATATACTATATGGATTTTATACACAAACTTCACAAAAGAATTAAAGCTCTAATACTACTTTTCTTTTTCCTTTGCCAGTCCTGGGGCTTGAACTCAAGGGCCTGGACACTGTCCCTGAGCTTCTTTTGCTCAAGGCTAGAGCTCTACCACTGGAGCCACAGTGGCACTTCTGGCCTTTTCTGTGTATGTGGTACTGAGAAATCGAACACAAGGCCTGCATGCGTGCTAGGAAAGAACTCTACCACTAAATCACATTCCCAGTCCACTAATATTATTTTTCTTGTGACTTTTTCCTACACAATATCCTCGTAATCTGCTGTCCCCCTGGGAATCATAATCCTCCTACTAGGATTATAGGCATGAGCCACTGGTGCCCCGTTTGGGTATAATATTATATGAACATATGTTTCATTTTTTTGAATTTATGGCTAGGAGAATTGGGGTTCTTACTGTAACTGCCAGAGAATTTTCCAAGCCACAGCAATGTATGAAGATTCTAATTTCTCTACATTCATGTCCCAAAACACTTGTTGTAGTTTAGGCATTCTAGTGGATGTAAAGTCCTATCTTGCTGTGGTTTTTTGTTTTGTTTTTGTCAGTCGTGGGGCTTGAACTCTGGGTCTGGGCATTATCCCTCAGCTCTTCAGCTCAAGGCTAGGGCTCTACCACTTGAGCTACAGCACCACTTCCAGTTCTCTGAGTGGTTTATTGGAGATAAGAGTCTCACAGACTTTTCCTGCCTGGGCTGGCTTTGAAACACAATCCTCAGATCTCAGCCTCTTGAGTAGCTAGGATGACAGGCATGAGCTACTGGCGCCCAGCTCTTGCTGTGGTTGTGGTTTTGATCTGCATTCCTGGTAATGATGCTAATGATACTATCCTTTTTGTGCTCAGTTCAATTTGGTGATTATAATCTTATCTTCAACTTTTTTTGAGACACAGTCTCACAGTGTAAGCCAGGTTGGCTGGCCTTGAATTTGAGATCCTCCTGCTTCTACCTCCCAAGCACTATTCTCATAGGTGTTATACTTGCTCTTAACTCTAAACCATTGAGAGACTTGAATGAAACAATTCACCAGCCATTTTGTATTAACTTAGGAACACTGCTCCTTACACAAGTATCTGGAGACACATCCTCATTTGAGGCGATGCTTTCTGCAGTTTTGAGGACAGTAAGTGGTCTTCGTTGGGCTAAAACCGGTGGGGGATCTGCAGGAAGACTATAAAAAGATGTATTACTTAGTACAATATCACTTAGAACAATTGTTTTGCTTAAAAACATAACCCTCTAATTCATCCTTGAGACACTAATATTCTCATTTAGCAATAGGTAAAAATTATCCTTATTTAATAATAAAAAAGTAAAAAAACAACAAACCTTTCATTCTTTTTTTCTGAAAGAAGAAATTCATCGAAAATGGAAAAAGGCATGTCGGGACCTAGAGAAAAAGAGACTAGATGTATATACTTTTAGGAATAAATGCTTTACTCTTCAAGACAACTATCCATTAAAAATATTCATAATGTTGGGGCTGGGAAGGTGGCTCAGTGGTAGAGTGTTTGCCTTGCAAGCATGAGGCCCTGGGTTCAATTCCACAGCACCACATAAGCAGAAAAAAGTAGGAAGTTGAGCTGTGGCTCAAGTGGAAAGAGTACTAGCCTTGAGCTAAAGAACTGAGGGACAGAGCCCAGGTCCAGAGTTCAGCCCCCACAACTGACAAAAAAAAAAAATTTAAAAAAAAATCATACTGTTAAACCAGGAGCCCAGTGGCTTATGCCTGTAATCCTAGCTACTCAAGAAGCTGAGATCTGAGGATTGTGGTTCAAAGCCAGCCCAGGCAAGAAACTCCGTGAGACTCTTATCTCCAATAACCACTAGAAAACTGAAGTGGCACTGTAGCTCAAGCCCCACGACTGACCAAAAAAAAAAAGAAAAATGAAAAAAGAATGCAAAGTAAAATCCATATACTGGATAGAAAAAGGTTTGCCATGCAATGCTTTATTTTGTCAGCTACATATTCCTCCATTGCTTGACACACTCCTCTATACTTCTGTACTCTACAAACTGAGGTGAATTACATTTGGTAAATTGATAGCTAGAATTAGTGGTCAATAGATTTGGTAAACTGTTTACAAGTGATGTTCATGTTTGTACCATTTTTACCATGTTGTTTCTAAAGAGAAAAAGAGAACCCATCTGAATATAAGTTTAAAATTTTTCTTCCCTCCAAAAACCATTTCCCTTACCGTTGATTCCTGAACTTTACTACTGAGTTTAACTCAGCGTACAGGAACTAAAGTGGAAGATTATTAAGACTTAGTATAAACTTAAGATTATATTTAAGCCTAGTATTTCAAGCAGTGATGTTTTTATGAAAATATTCTTTCAACAATCTATCCTATTTCCAATCATGTTTATACCAAATTCTATGATTCAAAGGTACAAGAATATCCTATTCCTCCTTTTCACCCTTTCGATCCAATTGCTGTAATTAAGAAAAACATTTACTATGTGTCTCATAATGTACTTGCTAGGTACAAGCTCTTTATGAGGCTTTCAAATACAACTCACCTTCACAATGAGGTTGTTCTCGACAAATGTTTTCTGCAAGTGAAGGTTCCCTGTGAAGAAACTGGGTTTAAAATATGTGGCTAAAGACATATTTATTTTACTTTATATCTGTTTTTTGTCAGTGGTATGGCTTAAACTCAGGGCCAGGATGGTGGGGTCCCCTGAGCTCTTTTGCTCAAGGCTAGTGTTCTACCACTTTGAGCCACAGTACTACTTCCAGTTTTCTGGTGTCTCATGGACTTCCCTGCCCAGGCTAGATTCAGCCTTCTGAATAGCTAGGGTCATAGGCCTGAGTCATCAGCAGCTGGCCAGAAATACTATTAGTTGTTTAAAGTGCAAGATGATTTTACATTCAATAGAATCTTCTTCACTCTAAGATGAGGAAAGTTTCCTACCACTGTTACTACAAATTTTATTAAATATGGAACTTTCAGTCATTAAAAATGTTGTAGAAGTAGCCAGGTGCCGGTGGCTCATGCCTGTAATCCTAGCTACTCAGGAGGCTGAGATCTGAGGATCACCGTTCAAAGCCAGCCCGGGCAGGAAAGTCCGTGTGACTCTTATCTCCAATTAACCACCAGAAAACTGGAAGTGGCACTGTGGACCAAGTGGTTGAGCCCTCGCCTTGAGCGCAGGGACAGTGACCAAGCCCAGAGTTCAAGCCCCATGACCCAAACAAACAAACAAACAAAATGTTGTAGAAGTATACTCAATAAGAGATACTAAGTTATACTATTCAAGCAGGGGCTTGAACTCAGGGCCTGGATGCTGTCCCTGAGGTTCTTTTGTTCAAGGCTAGCACTCTATCCCTTGAGCCAGCGACTTTCAGCTTTTTCTATGTATATGGTACTGAAGAATTGAACCCAGGGCTTCATGCATGCTAGGCAAGCACTCTACCACTAAGCTACATTCCCAGCCCCAGGCAGTAAAATAGTAAACTGTAATTTTTTTTTTGTCCATTGTGGGGCTTGAACTCTGGGCTTGGGTGCTGTCCTTGTGCTCTTCAGCTCAAGGTGAGCGCTCTATCACTTGAACCACAGCACCACTTTTGGTTTTCTAGTGGTTTATTGGAGATAAGACTCACAGACTTTCCTGCCCAGGCTGGGTTTCAACTGATCCTCAGATCTCAGCCTCCTGAGTAGCTAGGATTACAAGCATGAGCCACCAGTGCCCGGCTTAAACTTTAATTTTTATAAAGCAAAAATCAAGCACAAAAGGAGATTGTTCAATGCCAATAGCAGTTCTCTTGGTAAATTTGTTTAGTTTTATTTTTTGTTTTGACAAGGTCTCTGACTCTGTAGCCCAGTCTAGCCTCCTGCGTGCTAAGATTACAGGTATCCACAACACATCTAGCAGAAACATGTAGTTTTCCTTGATGGAAAAAAGTCAGCACCTATAAGATCTATCCGTTCCATGATGAGGTCTTACCTGGGATAAGAATTTAGTGGATAAACAGAACTGGATAAAGCCATTCTTGCCATTTCCTGAGACTCTGATGCAGGTTGCAATTTTACTGTCTCCTGGATAGGCTCCTTCTCTTCTTGCTGTATTAAAATAAATAAAACTAATGTCTGGCTTATGAAGAAAGTGCTATTTTCAAAGCTCACCTTCTGATGTTCTGACATTAGCTTTAACATACTCTTTTTCTAGATATCCACTAACCACATCAAGTATCTATGTCATTAGTGGTCTTTCCAATTATATTCCTAGTATAAATTGGTAGTTATATTCAACTGAGCACATACTATTTCTTTAATTAACTTATCTTAGGGGAACATGATTGGAATAAAAGGTTAAAATCAAACAAAATATCAGTAAATTCAGTAAATTGTATTATTTATTTCATAAAGCTGTTAAATTACATTCTTGCTATTAACAACTAAGAAACTACCAAAAACTTAATGGAGGTTGGGAAAACTTTATACTTCTATACTACTTATATTTATTTTAGGCTTAGCATGTGGCTTGAAAGTAGAATGCTAGGGCTGGGAAGGTGGCTCAGTGGAAGAGCGCTTGCCTTGCATGCATGAGGCCCTGGGTTCAATTCCTCAGCACCACATAAGCAGAAAAAAAAAGCCGGAAGTGGTGCTATGGCTCAAGTGATAGCATGCTAGCTTTGAGCTGAAGAGCTGAGGGACAGCACCAGGCCCAGAGTTCAGGCCCC